TTCTAGTTCAGTTCTAGTTCAGTTCTAGTTCAGTTCTAGTTCAGTTCTAGTTCAGTTCTAGTTCAGTTCTAGTTCAGTTCTAGTTCAGTTCTAGTTCAGTTCTAGTTCAGTTCTAGTTCAGTTCTAGTTCAGTTCTAGTTCAGTTCTAGTTCAGTTCTAGTTCAGTTCTAGTTCAGTTCTAGTTCAGTTCTACTTCAGTTCTAGTTCAGTTCTAGTTCAGTTCTAGTTCAGTTCTAGTTCAGTTCTAGTTCAGTTCTAGTTCAGTTCTAGTTCAGTTCTAGTTCAGTTCTAGTTCAGTTCTAGTTCAGTTCTAGTTCAGTTCTAGTTCAGTTCTAGTTCAGTTCTAGTTCAGTTCTAGTTCAGTTCTAGTTCAGTTCTACTTTTAGTTCAGATTAAGTTCAGTTCTAATTGAAATTCACCAATTGTTAAGAATTATAGTTTTAAGGGCAGGTCTATTGTTTAGTCAAATACCAAAAAGTTATAACATTAATTTAAAACATGTACGAAAGTGTAGTAGGGCATGACCGACTATATATACCCTACACCATGAGTATTTTTAAAAAATATATATTCTCCCATATAAAGCCTCTTTTAGACAATGGGAGTTAGGGTCAAGCATGGACCAATCCTCAACAAATTGGGAGGAGAGATGTATTTCTATATAAAGGTTAGTTACGCTGAATTTCATCGCTCTAATAATGGTTATAAATCAATTTTTGGACGTTTAAGATACTTTTTTTAAAGGGGGGTTTGTATGGGGATAGGGTCAAATGACGGCCGATGATTATAGTAATCGCCTTAGTCATTTATGCCTATATAACTTTAGTTGTGCCAATTTTTGGATATATAGTAGTATATTTGACGTAGTTATGAATTAAAAACCTCAAATCGGATGGTCGGTCAGGTTGTATGGGGGCTGTAATGGACCAATTTAACCATTTTCAATAGGCATCGTCCTTGTGCCAAAAAACACTTATGGTCCAAATTTTATTAAAATATCTTTAAAATTGTGGCCGGTATCTTGCGCACAAGACCAGCCGGACAGACGGACGGATATGTCTTAATCGACTGAGAAAGTTATTCGGTATACTTTAAGATGGGAGTAGGACCAACATTTATGTGTGTTACAATCATCAGCACAAACGTATAATACCCTCCCCACTATGTGGTGTAGGGTATAAATACCGAATCGAATTTTTATTCTAAAATCTTATCATTCATTTTAACAGCCGCTATCTACTCATAATATTTTTATTTTCTTATGTAATGCAATTCTTGCATTTCTTCCGTACAGACAACTAATTGATAAAAAAGTTTAAATTGATTATAAACTGGTTAACGGTATAAACTGTGTCTGCACTAAATTGCATTTACCTACTTTTATTGAAAAACTATGTGGCGGCAAAAACTTTAACTCACTTCACAATATGGAATTCCCCAAACGACCTTGTACTTTGAGCATTATTTTTCAAAATAAAAGAAAAAATAAATACAACTTAAAAAACTTCTTTAGTTTTGTTATCGAAGAAATATATAAATAGCCGTTAAAAGTTTAATTTAAAATATATTTAATTATTTTCTTCATACACCCAACTAACTACTTCAAATTAATTTAATCATCAACGCCATCATCAATACTATAACATTATTTTAAATAGGCCTATAATAAAACACTTTGGAAACCGATAAGTACAAGGTATATCTCACTCACTTAATAATAAAAAAATACTATTATTTAATTTTTCTTTTTATTTACTTTTTTGTTTATTTCCGCCAACAAACTAAAGTGGTGAAGTGGAAAACCATCTATAAAATACTCATATATCTATATATGTTTTATATATAATTTTCTGTGTTACTGAGCTGTTGTTTTCTTACAACTGTTTGTTTAACAAATACTACTCCCTTCAGATAGACAACATATCGTAGATATTCGTACATGTAGATCCATCAAATACTTAGTGAGTGATGTACAAAATACAAACATGTATCGATCAATGTTTGTAGGTGCTACATATAATATTTACATTTCAATATTCGTAATTTATTTTCTTTCTAAGAGCGAGAGAAAAAATCACCTATTTTAGTTTTAATTTATTTATTTAAATATTTACTTTTCTAATAACTAGTGTTGTGTACTTTTGAGTATTTTCTGTATATTTTTCCCATTAATTATTTATGTGCGACCTTGGTGCTTTTTTTGTGTTCACGTGAAACATAAATTTGCAATGATTTCTTATTTGAGATCTCTAAACTATGTACATTTAAAGTAAGTTTATTTAAATCTTACGAGTTACGTTGTTCCAAGCATTGACTGTAGATTGTATTCAAAGTTATATAGTTTTTTTTACTCATCGCAAAATGATCTGCAAAGATTCAGTCTGTTCCAGTTCAGTTCTAGTTCGGTTCTAGTTCAGTTCTAGTTCAGTTCTAGTTCAGTTCTAGTTCAGTTCTAGTTCAGTTCTAGTTCAGTTCTAGTTCAGTTCTAGTTCTTTAGTTCAGTTCTAGTTCAGTTCTAGTTCAGTTCTAGTTCAGTTCTAGTTCAGTTCTAGTTCAGTTCTAGTTCAGTTCTAGTTCAGTTCTAGTTCAGTTCTAGTTCAGTTCTAGTTCAGTTCTAGTTCAGTTCTAGTTCAGTTCTAGTTCAGTTCTAGTTCAGTTCTAGTTCAGTTCTAGTTCAGTTCTAGTTCAGTTCTAGTTCAGTTCTAGTTCAGTTCTAGTTCAGTTCTAGTTCAGTTCTAGTTCAGTTCTAGTTCAGTTCTAGTTCAGTTCTAGTTCAGTTCTAGTTCAGTTCTAGTTCAGTTCTAGTTCAGTTCTAGTTCAGTTCTAGTTCAGTTCTAGTTCAGTTCTAGTTCAGTTCTAGTTCAGTTCTAGTTCAGTTCTAGTTCAGTTTAGTTCAGTTCTAGTTCAGTTCTAGTTGTTCTAGTTCAGTTCTAGTTCAGTTCTAGTTCAGTTCTAGTTCAGTTCTAGTTCAGTTCTAGTTCAGTTCTAGGTCAGTTCTAGTTCAGTTCTAGTTCAGTTCTAGTTCAGTTCTAGTTCAGTTCTAGTTCAGTTCTAGTTCAGTTCTAGTTCAGTTCTAGTTTAGTTCAGTTCTAGTTCAGTTCTAGTTCAGTTCTAGTTCAGTTCTAGTTCAGTTCTAGTTCAGTTCTAGTTCAGTTCTAGTTCAGTTCTAGTTCAGTTCTAGTTCAGTTCTAGTTCAGTTCTAGTTCAGTTCTAGTTCAGTTCTAGTTCAGTTCTAGTTCAGTTCTAGTTCAGTTCTAGTTCAGTTCTAGTTCAGTTCTAGTTCAGTTCTAGTTCAGTTCTAGTTCAGTTCTAGTTCAGTTCTAGTTCAGTTCTAGTTCAGTTCTAGTTCAGTTCTAGTTCAGTTCTAGTTCAGTTCTAGTTCAGTTCGTTCTAGTTCAGTTCTAGTTCAGTTCTAGTTCAGTTCTAGTTCTGTTCTGTTCTGTTCTGTTCTGTTCTAGTTCAGTTCAGTTCTAGTTCTGTTCTGTTCTGTTCTGTTCTAGTTCAGTTCTAGTTCAGTTCTAGTTCAGTTCTAGTTCAGTTCTAGTTCAGTTCTAGTTCAGTTCTAGTTCAGTTCTAGTTCAGTTCTAGTTCAGTTCTAGTTCAGTTCTAGTTCAGTTCTAGTTCAGTTCTAGTTCAGTTCTAGTTCAGTTCTAGTTCAGTTCTAGTTCAGTTCTAGTTCAGTTCTAGTTCAGTTCTAGTTCTAGTTCAGTTCTATTTCAGTTTGTTTAGTTTAAAAACACTTTAATAAACCATTTATATTCCAAATTTTATCTAAACAAATGTCTCTCGATTATTTTCAGGTGAAAAATGTCATTCGTCCCCGCTATTATTCCTCCGAATTGGGTATTCGTGAGAAAATCTTTATTGGTGTCATGACAACCCAAGACAACATCAATACATTGGCCACAGCGATAAATCGCACAACAGCTCATCTAGTGAATAAAATTAAATTCTTCATCAATGCCGACAATGTTAAAACCAATTACAAATTAAAGAATATTGTTGGTTTCACAGACACACGGGAAAATCTGCGACCATTCCATGTCATCAAATACATTGCAGATAATTATCTAGACGATTATGATTATTTTCTAATCATACAAGACAACGTTTATGTGGATGCACGAAAATTGAAAGAGATGTTGTATCATATGAGCATAACATTTGATCTATATATGGGAGCAACTGCTGAGAGCAGTTACAGCAGCTATGGCGTCAACAATAACGCGGGTAGAGATGGGGTTATGGCGGCGGCCGCTTTGTCTGGCAATGTAATTGATGGTGATAGTAATGCTGGCGGTGTTGATGCTGCCGCTGCTAGTAATGATGAGTTTCGTATGTTAAGCGATCGTAATTACTGTGATTTAAATGCTGGCATTTTATTGAGCAGTAGTGTTATACGCAAAATGCGCAACAATTTAGACTGGTGTGTTCGGAATGGCATCACCAATGTTCATAGTATTAATATTGGTCGCTGTGTTAAATATTCCAGTAATTTACCGGGTTGCCAGGAAAAGTTTCAGGTGAGTTTATATTCATTTATTTATTGATTAAGCGAAAATGATTATATTTATATTTAACAAGTCGTTAACATTTAGTAATTAATAGTTTTTTTGTTATTTTATTTTTAATGTTGAATCGCACATTATTGTTTTTTTACTCTAACCGCAACGCAATAGTTTATGGTTTTGTTTTATTCATGTTTATATATTATTTAAAATAAGTATCTATGAGTATTTTAGTGAGTGTATCACAAGATTTTAAAACAAAAATTCGTTAAAACATCATTAACCACCAAAGGTGTTTTTCATTATTTTGTTTGGTGCGAATATTGGTTGAGAAATTTTTATATTTATAAAAATAAAAAGTGTAAAAGTCTAATGTCTAAAAAAGTTATCTTAGAGTAAAGAAAGTTGTATAGTGTCCCGGATGTAGAAATTTCTGGGATCTCTTGACGATTCTATAGTTTCACGATTACAAATGGCTTTCGACTTTCTAGA